TGATGGAAATGACCGGCTGAAGTTGGTGGTGTTACTGTGTGGTGAGGATGATGAGAAAGTCCAGGTTGCAGCGGCAGGAGCCCTGGCCATGCTTACAGCAGCACAAAAGAAACTCTGCTCTAAGATGACTGAAGTGGTAAGACCATAAGTGATTACTGGCAGTGTAGACATACCCTCGAAGGGGCCTGTCTCAGTCATGAAAATGCCTCTCAAAAGGAAGATGTAGTCCACCAGTTTGATAGTGAGGAACTTAAGTGGTGAAGCTGAGACCTGGGTGTGCATGCTGCTAGTCCATCCCTGCACAAAGTAAACCAGCCTGCCTTATACTAGACTTCGTCTCAGAGCTGAAACGTTTCTATATAGCCATTCTTCAAGCGAAGTCCAGGATGCTAACTGTCAAGCAAGGTTAGGAATGCAGAATATTATTCTATAGGCCCTTAAAGCTTTTGATAAATAACCTGAAATCCAAACCTTGTTTCAGTCAGAAATGAGAAGAGCTTGATAGATAAGCTTTACAGATCCCAAAACATGTCCATTCCTTGCACAGATCTGTAGGTGCTGAGAACTCAGACCCTGCTGAATATCTGTGAAGAGCTGTGGTTGAGAACTCACGAACCCTGTTGTGTTGCACACATGCTGATGCTGGGCACTGGGGCTTGTTAGAATAAAAATAACTAATCAAGCCAAAGAGAGGGGCTCAGGAAAATCAGAGTGGGGAGTGGGTGGTCTGCTTCTGGTCATCTCAGCTGTGTCAATGCTCTGATCAGATTCTTTGCACAGAGATTATCCAGCAGCCTAAACATGAAATGTGTTTCATGTGCTAGTGCCATGAAAGCTTCTGACTTCAGTGTAACAAAAACTGGGTTTAAAAGTTTGGAGTCGGGTTATCAAATAACCCTACCTGACATGAGTATGAAGAGGTGAGTCCCTGCGCTTCCTTCTGCTGAGAAATGCCTTGCCAAACTCGCATTCTTGATTGAGGTATTCTTCAGATCAATACTAATGATCTCTCTCTCCCTTGAAGACCACCCAGTGGCTTGAAATCCTGCAGAGGCTCTGCTTGCATGATAACATGGAAGTGCAGCACCGAGGACTGGTCATCGCTTTCAACTTATTCAGCGCTGACAAAGAGCTAGCGAAGAAGCTGGTGGAGACAGAGCTCCTAGAGATTCTGACATACATTGGCAAGCAAGAAGATGACCCCAAGAAGCAGCACATCATTAACGTAGCACGTGATTGCCTCACAAGGTGCATGGATTATGGGCTGATCAAACCTCTCTCTCAGGCATGAGGAAACAAAGTACCAAAAAAGGCTGAGTGGGGAAAAAAAAGCTACTGAGAAATGTGGAAAAGTGAGAGCCATGAGGAAAATCTAGTGCCATTGTCAAGGCACAGAATAGTCTGGGGACAGCTTTGGAGGATCAGAAACTGTATGAGGAAAAGGGGGGCATTTGCCTGGGAAATTTGAAAAGTGTCCATCTGAGTAATTCCCAGGTGGTGTAAATCCTTTCTTTGCCCCCATTCAGCTGATAATGATGAAAGCTTCAAGGCCCAGCTGTGAAAGAGTTGGTTGTGTTGGAAATGTGCCAGGGGGCTGTTGGAAGGAAACTCAGCCGAGATGAAATCTGTTCTGCAACCACCTACAGCTCCTGGTACTTCTGGAATTCCTAGCAATGGTGGAACAGGGAGGGTTAAATGCCTTCTCTTCTGTAGTCAGAAAATAGGTTGGGTTTTAGCTGTGTGCTTTTTTTGGTTCATTTATGGTATTTTTAAACAGCCTTAAATGGTGTGCCGAAGTGTGAGGATGGTGGATGAACTTTCAATAAATTCCCTACTTTGTTCCATGTGGAATTCCTGATCTGCTTGTATTAAGCAAATGGGAAATCTAAGGCAAGTCCCACTTGCAGCTTTGCATCATACCCAGGAAGCTGGAGTAATCGGTAGTACAGGCTGAACTTTCACCACTTGCAAACTCTCCAGTGCTGCTCAAATGAACACGCAAAGTCACCATGAAAGGCTGTACAAGGAGGTGGCACTAATGGGTTAAGCTGAGGTTCGCACCAGGGCGCAGTGTCTGGCTCAACAGGGAATGTTGAAAATATCTCATGGAAGAAGCGGAATGAGAAGCAAACCCACCAGTTGGTCATCACATTAAACTTTATTATGTAAATATTGACATTCACGCGATAGGCATGGCATGAACATGACAGGCATAGCATGATTAAGCGTTGAGGTTTGGGGGTTATGAAAGGAACCGCGGGGATAGTCTTTCCTTGTACGTTGATTAAGGAAAAAAAAAAGGAAAGTGCCTCTAGCTTCCCGAAGTTAGAAAAGCAAGAATTTTTAAGGTAATAGGTTTGACAACCTAAAGGCAAATTTATTTGGAGGGTTATGCCAGCTGTGTACAATGTCTTCTCCTTATTGTAACCACATTCAGTAAAATCGCTGGTGTTTTATAATCACACTAGGCGGCTATCAGACGCTTCTTCCAAACCGAATGAACCCCACAATATGGCTTGTTTTCAACCAGCCTTCAATTTTGGAGACTCAGTTTTAGGAATCTTGGCTGTTTTTCAAAAGTACTTTGCATCTAACTCTATACAGAGAGTTTTATCTAACCAACACATCTGAAACGAAGACAAAAAATGCCATTGGTATCTAAGGGCAGTTATGCAAAGTCTTCCTTCTCCCACTAAAGCTCCTCTTTGGAACAACTGGTTTCTTCTAACCCATACTGACTGTTGCCGAAATTGAGTGGGGAAACTACTTCTGTAAAAGCCATTTATTTGTATTTCTTAGCTAAAACATGGACAGAGGCCCATTTTTACTTTCCTAGGTATCTGAACAGGGGCTGTCTTTTAAAAAAAAATGGCTTCTAACACTGGATGCCTATGCTGTTTGGTAACTTTTCTGAGCAGAACTGTGAGTATGGGAGTGGGCTGGTGAAAGCCAGAAAGTCTTCCCGTTTCCTGTCTTGGCACAGTGGCTTTCACTTGGCAATGCACCTGCATGCGGTCAAAGGCTGAGCATCAGGTTTTGCAAGTCCTGGAAAGGAACCTTCAGGGAATGATGTAATTCTACTGGCATTCAAAGTATCTCTTTTCTTTGCATTATTGAAACCTTACATTTGATTTAAAACAGACTGTAGAGGCTTTCCAAGAACTTCTGGGCTTCTAGAGGCGACTGGCCATTACAAAGGAAATCCTGCTACTTCAAATACAGAGTAAAAAAATTTCAAACATATATAACCATTGACCTACCAGGGCCTTGTTGGGATCCTATGTGATTACCAAGTGTAGATTTAAATTAGCTCTGGATGCTACACAGACCAGTATATTTCTGCAAATTTTTTTCTTAAATGGAAAGGATTGAGGAATAATACCAAACACAATGCTTCTTTCTAAGCCAGAGAAACGACGGATGCTGTCAAGAATAGCGTGCTCCTCTAGCCCTCCCTCAATTTTTTTTAATAATATATTTGACTTTGACTTCATTTCTGATGCTAGTATTCCATAGTATGCTTTTACTTCTTCATCACTGTAGCACAGAATAGCAATATCTTTCTCGGAGTAACCCTTTTTAAGATATGTACGACAACGTTCTGCCACATACTTCACTATTCCATTTCTGTCTAGGTTGTGTTTTATTTCAGTACAGCCTTGCACAGCATAAGCACATGTGGCTCTGCACAATAACTCTTCCAAACGTTGGCTGGGGATATTTAGGGTAGGGTACTTTACAATCTTTTCCATCTTTTCTTTTATATACCTATAGATACTGTTAGCATTACGAACCACTTTGGTTAGCGACTCGACAGGATCATGCCGTGTTGCTTCTGGAAGACCAGTTGAGAAGCAGTGACTTGTCTGTAAGTAGTCCAAGAAAATCCAGAAAAAGCCGGGCTCAGGGAGATGTGGTGCTGAAGTTAGAGCCAAGGCTTTGTTATACCAATCACCTTCCCCATCTTGGAAATTCTGAGCTTCATCAATTATTATGTGAGTCACGTTCTCAAAGCTTGCCTTCAAAAAGTGTATTCTTGTCACAGCCTGGCAAATGTTTTTCTGCCTACAGAAGAGATACAAGTAGATTAAAAACAATCTCTGCGTTGCATCTATTTATTAGTAGGTGCTCAGGATATTGAGAAAATAATTTGAGCCTTACTAAAAACGCATCCCAACTACATACTTCAAACACTGCAATGGTGGTGGACCACATAGCACACCAAATACACCAATCAGTACTCAGCTATTTAAAAATGCTGGTGAAATAACAGGATGTTGAAATTAATAATGGGAGGAAATTTTTAATTAAAAAATTACTTTAAATTTAAAAATTACTTTTAAATTTAAAAAAAAATAATTAAAAATTAAATAATAACTTATATTAAAAATAATTTAAATTCCCCCATTTTTAAAAAAGGAAGACCTGGGGAACTACAGGCCAGTCTCACCTCTGTGCCTGGGAAGATCATGGAACAGATCCTCCTGGAAGCTACGCTAAGGCACATGGAGGACAGGGAGGTGAATCGAGACAGCCAGCATGGCTTCACCAAGGGCAAGTCCTGCCTGACCAACCTAGTGGCCTTCTCCGCTGGAGTGACTACATCAGTGGACACGGGAAGGGCTACAGATGTCATCTATCTGGACCTCTGTAAGGCCTTAGACATGGTCCCCCACAACATCCTTCTCTCTAAACTGGAGAGGTATGGATTTGATGGGCGGAGTGTCCGGTGGGTG